GGGGAGCCTGAGACTAGAGCTCATTGGCCAGCCAGTTTAGCTTAATCAGTAAAGTCTGTGTACAGTGAGAGACCCTGTCTCAGAAACTAATGTGGAGAGAGATCAAGGAAGCATCAGCATCAGCCTCTGGCTTCACACACACACACACACACACACACACACACACACACACACACACACACACAGGGTAGGGGTGGGAGAGGGAGAGAGAGACAGAGAGGGAGGGAGGGAGAGAGAGAAGGAGGGACGGAGAGAGAGAGAGGAATTACTGGGCCTCTGGCCAGTCTTAGTAACCAGTAGGATGCAGGAGGCTGAGGCCAGGCACTGGTCCACAGGGGAGTTGGTGACCAGCTTGTGGTGAGAAGCCGAAGAGGGGAAAGTACTGCTAAGGAGAGGTTCTGGCAAGCACTGACCTGGGCAGGAGTGTGTAGAGCTTGGCTGTGTGGTGGCTATCTTCAAAAGCTCCCTGTTTCTCATGGGACCACTGGGAAGCTGGATCTGGTTTCAGAGCGGTCACAGAGGAGGACAGGATGGGAGAACATTCTCCAAGCATGACAACCCAGAAAGGTTTGGGTAGATACGGTGATGTTCTCAAGCTAGAAGCACCACATGCCTGACACACAGGACAGAGGACACTCTCCAGAGCTTATTGGCAGGAATTCTTTTTACAGTTTCAGCCTTCTAGATGGAATTAGCAGACTAAGCGATATGAGAGCCACTAAGATGGGGAGGGCTGACCCGCAGGGGAGGACGGGAGGACAAGGCTGCTGGCAAGGCATTTGGGTGAAGAATCGTGGCCACCAGCAATGTGAAGTCTGACCTGCAGGTGCATTGGAATGGGATGGGAGCAAGAGGGCCGAGGGAGGCCACTGTCCTTGCAACTGGACTTTTGAGGTTAGGACAATGACAAAATTTAGATGAAAGAGTAGCTGGGTAACGTGCCCAAGCCTGGGTTCCATTCCCAGCCAAGAACTAAAGGGTGGAGTCCACTGTGGTGGATCAGCTGGGTGAGTGATTGGTGTGTGGTGGAGAGAAGGGGTCACAGGATGAGGGCAGGGACACCAGGAGTCTGGCTAGACCATGCACAGTCGGGGCCCAGAAGGAAGGTCCAAGCCATCAGTGATAGGGCCCGCCACTGAGTGCCTCACTGTGTGTGAACAGGACAACCTGGCCTGCCTCCCACATAAGCAAGGGAAATGCTCAAAATTAGCACTACCTACTCATCCTTTAGTAGAAAGTGAGACTAATGAAGCCCTTTGATACATGCCACCCAGTGCCCCCAGGCCTTCTGCATAGTGACAGGACACTGCAATCTCTCACTGTCCTTCAGTGGTCAGGCGGAATCCCCAGGCAATGGCTACAGTTGAGTGAGCCCTCCCTGTTCAGGCAGAACAGCCAAGCCAGGAGCCTGTAGCTGACAAAGCCCATCTGTTTGTGGAATGCCTTGCCTGCCCCCTACTGGATATCTTAAGACCCATCCTGCTGAGACTGGCACTTTGAACAGGACAGGAACGAGGGTCTGGAACAGAAGGGAGCCAGGATAGGCTTGGGGACCATGGCTTCTCATTAAGGAGTTCCTGGACCTCTTCCCAGGACCTCGACCTCACGGCTGGCCAGAGACTATGTATAGCAGATGCTCAGTACTTGTGTCCCTGCTCTGCCAGTTTCCACAGCCTCTCCTAGAATGTGGCTTCTCCCTTTTGAGCAGTGTTCCACACACATTAGGATCCTTACACCGATGCTCACCGATCACTGTTGCCGCCTCCTCTGCTGTCCCACTAAGTTCCTTATCTATTGAGCAGACACCAGAGTCACAACAGCAAGCTGTAGAGCCAGCACTGTCCAGAAGCTCAGGTCCGCAGCAGAGACATACACAGAGAGGTCGGTTTAGCAGAGCAGCTGGGGATGAGGAACCAGGAGAGGTGCCCCCTGCATAGCACTCAGAGGAGGGAGGGAAGGCTCCAGGGAAGGCTTCCTGTAGGAAGTGGCAGAGAGCACAGGCCTGGAAGAAGAGAAGGAATCTGTCAGGAGGGGTGGAAGCCAGGGTCTAGGAAGGAACACCCAGGCTGGCACAGGGCTGGAGGCACTGAGGGGGTGTAAGCAGAGGCTGGGCAAGAGATGCTAAGGCCTGCTGACATGCTGCAGAGCCTAAACCGCTGGGTCCTGAGTGAGCAATAGTCCCAGCATCCCAGGGAAGGGTTGTCATAAGAAGCCTATGGGCTTCTGAGTTCTGTCACTTGTCCATCACTGATTCAGTCCCTCTTAACTGCCTCCACAGAGGCATCAGGCTAAAGGAATGAACTGAGCATGGCTGCTGCCTGGGCGATGGCAGCCATAGCAGCTGATAATTCAATCAGAGGAGGGGTGGGGAGGGGCCTGTAGCAAGAGGAGGAGATTTTGATGAGTGTGTGGGGGTTTACTGGGTGTTGGAAAGGGCTAAGGTCATTTAGGTAGGCAGCAGCAGCAGGAACAAAGCTGTGGAACCTTCAGGAGTCTGGGGAAGAGTGGAGAGTGTCCCATAGCAAATGAGCTGGGTGTCCTGGGAGCCTGTGGTGGGGCAAGCAGCCACACTAAAGTCTTTGCAGTCCAAGTCCTCCACCCCAAACTGACCCAGTTGCAGGTTTTCCCTGCCCCTGGCACCACCAGGCCCTCCTTAGCCAAAGTGTGGCCCCATCTCCTAGTGAGGCCAGGTTGGCTCTTCATTGGGAAACCATTTCAAAGGATGGGAGGGTAGTCCAGGCTGGTGGGACAGAGGAGCCTCTCAGTCACCAGCTGAGTGCCAACATAGGGCCTAGGCTCAGGCTCCCCCTGAGCATGTGTGTGAGCTCATGCAGACAATGGCTGGCTCCTCTCCAAAGCCTCTGTGCCCACTTCCCAAGGCCTCCTAGCTCTGTAGAGGAGAGCCATGGCAGAGCCATGCAGCCCCTTGAGAGGATATTAGGGACCATAGCTATTTTTTCTGGGCTCCTTTAGTAGTGTCACCACCTCAGGAGGCAGGAGGCAGGGAAGGGAGAGGGTAGGCTACCCATCCCCAAACTCTCTTTCCATTTTCTGGTCCATAAGGTGGGCAGGCAGTACGCAGGGCATGGGGAGTGGGTACAGACCACTCCCCAATTCTGGATGATGGAGAAGGGTAGGGCACAGGACCTCAGAGGGGAAACTCATATACCTACTTGTACTTAGTGGATCAGTTTGTGTCAGAGTCACCCCCCTCCACCCCCAGCTCTCAGGTTCTCCCACAGGGGTCTGTGCAGGAACCTGAGAACTGCTGCCCAGGCCAATAGTAGGGACATCTCCTTGGCTGCTTTCCTGTACTGCTCAAGTACAAAGCCCACAGTTTAAGCCAGCTATACCAGGCATGACATGTACTTGGATATGCACAGACACATGTTGTAGGGTGCATAAATATGAGCTGCATGGTGCTTGCAGAAGGGCCTACATGGACATTCAGATACAACATACGTGCTGAAGCCACATTCACATGCTACTAGGCCCACATATACAATAACACAGAAACATACAACACAAGTGCATAGATACTCACAGACAGTGCTTACATGACACACAATGACAGCTCACACAGGCTCACTGTAACCCACATGCTAGGGGCTGGTTGAGCTGTGGTGTCTACATAAACCTCCAAAGAGATCCATGGGTCAGGTCACATATACCCTAAGTCATATTTGTCCCCCACACACATTTGCATTCAGCTCCCCCTCTGATCTCACAAGAGCCTCCAAGGTGTGTGGTCCTTGTAGTGCATTGGGGACTGAAGGTCAGAGACCTGTGTGATGGCTGAGGCCACACAACTCATGGAGGGAATGCATGGTTTCCTTGTGTTTGCCTATCATGTACATCTCTGCGTTTCTCTCTGTGCCCAAGGACACACACCACACAGCATACACACATCCAAGCGTTCAGAGGGGCCTCCCTGACTAAAGCAATCATTCATGTCCCAGATGAAGACACAGATGGAGGCTTCAGATAAGGACCACAGGCCTAAGGAAGGCCATGCAGACCCACAGAGCTATACCACACAAGCAAAGCCATGTGCCGCCAACACACAGGAGGACTTTCTCACCTAACATCTGCAGGATGACTGGGTGGGTCAGAATGGTTCCTGCTTAGAAATATTAGACCCAAAGTTAGGCTGGTAGGGAAGGCCCTGTGGAGGGAATCTGGTCACAGTGACCTAGACAGGTCTCCTCAGAACCCTCAGGATAAAAGTCCTACAGCTTCCCCTCCTTAGGGATCTTATGAAAGAAAATTTGTTTAGTGGTTTAACCTGCTCCTCCCCCTCCACCACCCCAGGTCTCTCCCTCAGTGGCAAAATGAGTTACACGTGTGTGCCTGATTTTGCTGGCTCTGAAATCACCCACGGGGATTTGGGGAACATTCTTTGAAGTGCGGCAGTTTTATGAGTTGGGCGTTTTCTTTCTTCTCAATGATAGAATTCTCATGTTCCTGACAGACAAGGAATCTGAAGTCCCTTCCCCCATCCTGAGATTCTGGGAGCACACATTTGATTCTCAGTACAGTGCTCCCAGCTGCTGAAGGGGTGGGCTGCTTCTGATGAGGCATGGGGTAGGTCCTCTTGATGATCTTAGAGAGGATATCACACAGGCTCTGTGTGTTGGGATGCCATGTACTGTGATGGGAGGTGCTATCCCAGCCTGAGGCGCCCTCGCCTGCCTGGCTTTTACTTTTCCCAGAAGAGCTGTGCCACTTGGAGCAAGGGCCCTTCTTACTCTGGCCTTGGCCACTTAGCCATGTGGTGAGGGCAGGGTCCTCCCTAGGATCCAGGGGCTTGGGAACAATGAACTCTCTGCATCGAAATGGCTTGTCCAACACAGAGTAAAGAACGGCAGGGTGTAAGGGAGTATTTCTATTTTTATTGTTTCCCTGGGAATCATTAGAGAAGACACCAGCTCATTTCACTCGGGCAGCAGATCACCAGGGAGTTGATTAGGCATTCCTTGAAGGGGGTGGTGATAGGTCTGCCCACCGACTTCCATTCAGGGACCTGGCCCAGCCTCCCCTGGTCTCCTGGGCTCAGCCAGACCCTGCCGCGCTTTGGCAAAGCCCGTCCGGATTTCTTGGTTTATGTGATCCTGCCATGGGTCTCTGAAGAGAATGGAAAGATGAGGATTATAAACAACTCCTAGTGATAGTGGCTGGGGCTTCCACTCTTGTGTCTACTGACACCTAGCAGCCTGCCCGGGGTGCAATGGGCACACTGGGCACACTGGCTTCATCATCCTCACCTTTGTACTGTGGGAGCAATGCTCAAACATGTCACATCTTCTCCGTGGCCACACAGTGATTCCCTGTCTGCCTGTGTGGCCACCCCTCTGTGCCCTACTTGGGATATGACTGTGGGAGGCACTGGGGCCTGGGGATCCCTGGACACCCCATATACACCTTTACTTTCTCATGCTCTGCCCATAATGCCTGGAGTTGGCCAACCTGGGCATTGCTTTGATCAAGAGAATGAAACAGACATCTGAGGGACAGCCAAGACTTCACAGCAATCCACAGAGCATATTTGTTAACACTGGGGGTAAAACCCAAGGCTTTACATATGTTAGGTAAGCATTCTGCCACTGAACCACACTTCCCAGCCGTCAAGACATGTTTGATGGTGCTTAGCAAGGGAGCTTTGTGGGGTGTCTCCCTGAGGTGTAACAGGGGTAGGGGTAAGGGGAGGAAGGGCAGGAACCTCTGAGTTCTGCTGCCCTGGTCAGCGGCTGCGCCTCCACATGGTCAGGGCGGAGCTTGGGTCCATGATTCCTGCCTGACTTTTGATGGAAATAGTGCATGCAAGCAGATGCTCTGTGTGTGTGAGTGCCTACATGTGTGCTTGCATGTGTACATGTGTCTGAGTGTGTGTGTGTGTGTGTGCACGCGCATGTGTGTGCATGTGTATGAGCGTGTGTGTATGAGTGCAGAGACCGGCCAGCTCACAGGCAGGCTCTGAGCACAGACCCTCCCCTGGCTGCTTGAGACCCTGGGTCAGGCAATGCTCCTTGCAGATAATCTCTGGTTTCCTCCCTCCCTGAGCCAGAAGATGAAAATGTTTCTGGCACTTTCTAAAGTTTCTTTTTAGGACTGGAAAAGCCATCAGCCGAAGGAACTCTGGCTGATAAATGGTGGCCAAGCCTGCACGTTCCAAGTCCTGGGACAGGGTCGCCAGAAGCAGACAGGGCTTCCCTAAGTGTGGACATGGACAGAGTCTGGCTGGGGCTTCATCAGGGAATGGCCAGATCAGGGTCATAGAGGGAGCTTGGGAGCTGAGGCCTGAAGTAAGGAGGGGGCAGGGCTGTTGGGGTGTGGCTCAATGGAGGGGCAGAGTCCTAGTTCTGTCCCTGTCCATGCTTTCAAAAACAAACAAACAAACAAAAAAGATGAACCACTTAATGATCAAAATTAATAAATAAATAAGCAAGTAAATAAATACACAAATAACTAATTTAAGAGTGACAGGGCATCTGAAGCTGTAGCAACACAAGAGCAAAGGCCCTGAGGAGCGAGATTGAGGTGTGCTATAGGACACAGCGCAGAAGCCCCTGAACAGGTGTCCAGCTGCAGGAAACAACAGAGCAAGTGCTGGGCAGGGTCACCTGGAAGTGGCTAAGAACAGCCGGTTAGAGCAGTGGCTCTCAACCTTCCTGATGCCCCAGTCATAAAATTATTTTCTTGCTACTTCATAACTAATTTTGCTACTGTTATGAGTCTTAATGTAAATATCTGATATGTGAGCCCAAATGGGTTGCAATCCACAGACTGAGAACCACTGAGTTAGAGGTTCTGGTGAAGGGAGAATTTTAACCCCTTCAGCTGGGAGGGGCCCGGTGCACTCCCAGCTCAACTTCCCCTGATGGACTGAGCCCCTTGGCCATCATGGTCTGAGGACCTTCTGTTCTTTGATAACACTTGTGCCTGCTGCCTTTGCCTGTGAAGGGTCTCAGGGGGGCAGAGGAGCAAGGGATAGCCTGTTGGAGGAACCTGCTACTGCTCCACATGGCCCTCAGTGAAGGACACAGTGTCCCCAAGGATGCAGGTCAGAGTATGCTGTCAGAGGCCCAAGCTCTGAAGCATCTTCCTCGTGCAGTCTTTTGGTGTCCTTTTGATATGAGTTCTGTGACTGGAAGATGGCAACAAGGACACAGCTGGTCAGCTCAGACTAGAAAGATCTTTGCTGCTGGTTGTGCACGGCATGCCCCTGTGTGGTGTCCCTGAAAGTGGCCTGTTTATGCAGTTTTTGTGGGGACACAGGAAGCGCTCACGCAGGCCAGCTGAACGTCTTGGGACCCAAAGTGTACCGGAAACAGCCGTGGAGCAGACACAGCCACCACCCAGCCAGGCAAGCAGTGCTTAGCTAGCACCAGGCAAATTATGTATTTTCCAGGTCTTATCAGGTCTTTGATAATCTAAAATAACAGATCATCCCTCATGGGGACACATTATGGCTTTGGGGAATCCTTCCTCACTCACCCAGGTCTGATAGGCAGAGGTGTAGGGAGGGGCTTACAGAATCCCACCTTCCCTGTCAGCCAGTAGGTTTCCTCAGAGCCCTTCCCCTGGAACAAAGAAGAAGATGTGAGAGGCCCAGGCCCAGAGGAACCTCCCCAGGCAAGGAGAAGCCTGGCTCTGCCTCTTGACAGCTGTGCAACTTTGGCCAGCTTACTTCACCTCTCTGGGCTTCCTCTGTTATCTCCTAAAGCTATTGTAAGAATTGGCTAATATAATACTTAACAGTTAAAGAGATGCAGGCAGGCCCAAAATGCTAAAACCTGAGGCATCCATGTGGAATTCCTTGCAGCCTCCCTTTGGAAGATGTGGGAGGGAGCTGTAGGACCCTGAGACCCTATGCAATCCCACCCCTCTGAGTTCCTCTGCTAACCCAGTCCTCTGTTTCTCAGGACACACCATGCCATGCTCATGTCCCCAAGTCAAACAGTCCACACCCTCCCCCCACAGCCTGCTGCAGCCCTGTCAAGCTCCTGAGGACACAAGCAGACACTGGCCTTCAGGAGCTTGAGGACCATGCTCTGGGTGGGTGCCTCCTACTACAGCTGCACCTCTTGCTGTGACATCATCCCTCAGTGTCATGAGGTGAATCAGAGAGTGCCTGATTCTGAGGTCCAGTCACAGCTGGGGGTGGGGGGTGGGAGGGGTGGCTTGCAGCATCTTTGCAGCATCAGGGCTGTCACTAGTGGGGGAACTGGGGAAGGGGGTAGGACAGGGGGAGGTGGGAGTCGCTGCCTTCATCAAGCATTGCATTAAAAAAAAAAAAAAAGGAGGGAGGGAGGGAGGAAATGCCAGGGTTCAAGCCTTCTCTCTGCCTCAAAAGGAGCTCACGGCAAGCTCAGCCCAGGGTCACACCGTGGAGAGCTGTTCATGGGCGCACTGGGAAGTTATGACAGCCATTGGAAAAAGTGGGGATATTCTTGGGCCAGGATGGGTTTTAGTGAGAGGTGATGTCTGAGCTGGGTTCTGAGGGGTGCGTAGAAGCCCAAGGATGTTATAGAGATGTCACAAGCTTGAAGTCATGGGCTAGCCTTTGTTTTTTCTAATTGAATTTTCTTAACTATGTAATTTGTCCTTTCACAACTGCTCTGAGGGCCATATATGTTATGTGTGTTGGGCACCAGGGCACTACACAGGTGGATCACTAGTAGCCACAACTTCTCTGCCCTGCCCCTGACTCTAGCAAAGAACCAAATGGCCTCCAGGAAGAAACTTTTTTTTTTATTCTAAATTTGGGGAGCAGAGAGAATCACCTCTATGCCCAGCTCACACTGGTCAGCTGAAACAGGTCCCGAAGGCAGTCCCTCACCTTTAGTTCAGTCTGACCTCTGACATCAATTGTGTAGCCTTCGTCAAGGCTGAGCAGGGTCTGGACGGTGCTCCTGCTAACATGGATTCTGTATGCTGAGAAGAAAGGCAGAAATCAAGCTACCACTCCCTGGCGGTGCCTACTTCTCTAAGAGCCATGACGGTAGCCCCAGGCAGTCTCCCCGTGAGATTATGCTGCACGTGATTCTTTCTCCCAAACATCTCATTCCTATAGACAGTTGATCATGGACAGAGCCCCCAAGGGGGGTGACAAAAAAAAAAAAAAAAAAAAAAAAAAAAAAAAAAAAACAAGCCACATAGATGAAGTAGAGATCCCTGAAACACAATGTTTTCCCATGAAGTTTCCATACTCAGCTATGCAATGTGTGCATGGAGCTATCTTAGGACCATATTGCACCATCTATACATCAGAGGCAGAGGCCCTACACCTGGCAGTTTGGAGCTGTTTTCACCAAGCCATCAGAGGAGATCCTCCCCAAATAAGGGCCTAAAATGTTGGAGATGTCTACATGGTAGTGTTGGAGCTGACCTAGTATAACAGGGGTTGGCATACAGCCAAATAAAATCCCAAACTGGAAGGGGGTCACCTCACTGTAAAAGGACACCAAGGCCTTCCAGGCAGAGCCTGCTCAAGGACACTGGGCAAGTCTGTTGCAGAGTTAGGGAGAGGACCCGGGTTTCCTGCTTCTTGAATCATTGTCTTCTCTGCTAATTCTCCTGGGAGATCATCATAAAAAGGCCATGGAAAGTTAAAGAGCACATACCCCTCCCTGTGCTGTCACCTAGGGTATACTGCCATCAGGAGGGGGCATGGCGAGTGAGTACTGCTTCCCACAGCCTGTCTGGGTTTATTGAGAAAGCCTCCCCCCCAGGGGCAGGATAGAAGTCAGAGGTACTCACGCAGCCCTGTCGATTCCATCCGGGAAGCAGTGTTGACAGTGTCCCCAAAGAGGCAGTACCGAGGCATGGTCAGACCCACAACACCTGCCACGCATGGTCCTGAAATCCAAATGTGCCTGGCAAGCTCCAGGAGGCCAGACGGAGGTCCCAGCATCAGCCCCCCGCCCCAAGCCACCTTGCCACCTTTTGTGGGTCCTGAGATGAGGGTCATGCTGTCTGGAGCCAATGGCAATACCAAGGGAGGTGGTGGGGGACAGGGGAATGGAAGCCAGTACCAGAGTGAGAGAAGCAACCCAGAGAAGCGATAGCTGACCTGTGTCTTGAAGGGAAGAGGGAGGGCAGGAGATGGCAGATTTGAAGGCTGAGTGTGGGTGAGGGGCTGGTGGGGGGCCACAGGGGGAGGCTGGAGAGGTTAGTGAGGACTTTGGGGCTACAGGGGGCCCCCACTTTGCACTTGATCCTGCAGGAGGGAGCCACAGAGGGGAGGGGCAAAGGGATCCTGCTCTGAGGCCTTGCCCACACCCAGGTCAGCATACATTTAGTTGCCCCCACAACCATAGGAGGTCTCTGCCTCTTACATAGGACTAATGGCTTCTCCATGTAGAATCAGCTGCCTTTTGACCAGATGTTAAGGGCAGAAAATTCAAACCAAGTAAGGTTTGTGAATCTGAGTGTCCAGACCCTTTGATATGAGGTAGCCAAGGGTCACAAAGCTTTTCTGGAGAGTGTCTAGATACCAGGGAGTTAGATGCAGTAAGTACCCGGGACTGACCATCACCGTGGGAGTTCTGAGAGGCCTGGCCATGGCCCCCAGTCCTTTGCCTACCTGAGTGCAGACCAGCCCTGACACGGATGGGTACATCAGGTGCATGCCGCATCCGGAAGTTGCCTGCATAGCTAAGTATGTCCAGGGCCATGTTGGCGATCTCAGCTGCATGCCGACTCCCATTGCGCCGAGGGAGCCCAGATGCCACCATGTAGGCATCTCCAATGGTCTCTACCTGAAAATGACAATCTCATGTTGGAACAACCTGTCCCACACCCAAACCTACATGCCACCGATCAGGAGGCCCTCACCCCCCCCCCAGATCTCACACACTCTGTAGCCTTTGCCAGCCTTTAGGCTCAGGCATTCAGCACTGAGCTATGAGCTTCAGATGGGCTCTGTCTGTAAGGCAGATGGCAAGTCTGTCTGTCTCTGATGGCAGATGCAGGGAGCACTGTGAATGAGGCCATGGCAGCCAATCAGAGCTTCATCTGAAGAAGGCACCTGTCAGGGACAGTCTGGTGTCCTGACTTTATTGGCTTCTACAGATACCAGAAAGAAAGTGGGTTCTAGAGCAGCCTGTGATCCTCGTACTCATGAGGCTGAGGCAGGAGGGTTGCTGCAAGTTTGAGGCCAGCAATGCTTGGGCTATATAGTAAGACCTTGACTCAAAAGGAGAAGAGGTAGGGGGAGGCTTGAAATGATTTTGTGGGTAAGGGTGCATGCAGCTGAGTTTGATGGCCTGAATCTGGTACCCAGAATCCTCATGGTGGAAGGAGAGAACTGATTCTTATAAGTTGTCCTCTGTTCTCCACACACATGTACATAACACATTCTCTCTCTCTTTCACACACACACACACACACACACACACACACACACACATACACACAATTAAAGGAGGAGAGAGAGGAGGGATAAAGGAAAAAAGTTCTGGAACCAGACAGACCATCTGGTTTCACCCCAGCTTTCCCACTTGCACAGGCAGAGGACTTCCCTTGCAGCCACAGCTTCTTCTCTGCGGGCTGTGAGTGGAATGAGTTGACAAAGCCAGCTGTAACACTGCCCCCACTGAGCCTCTGCCAACCTCAGGACCCGAGGCCAGTGTGGTGTCGGAGCTGTTTGTTTTTCAGGACACCTCCCTCTCACACCCTACCTCAGCCAGGTACCCTGGCTCTCACCAGCTGGCCCTCCCATAGCCCAGTACTTCAGAGCTCAGGGTCAGCCACATACTGGCCCTCACAGAGGTAGTGTGCCCAGGGATGCCTGGGGATTTAATGAGCAGTCACCTGCAATGCAAGTGAGGCTGTGGCTGCTTGTAATGTGCATGCTTCCTTCAGGGGTAGGAGTTACAGTAGAGGAGAAACAAGACCCAGGGCTGAATTCTAGTGAGCACACTAGTGGAGTCTAACTGTACCACTGCCTTGCTGTGTAACCTCATTGGGGACCTTGTCCTCTCTAAGCCTCATGTGTGTCAAGGACTAAACCATCCTACCAAGGGCTAAATGAGGCCTACTGTGAAGACCCTCAGGCTAGGCTCTCCTTCCTAAAGTACTTGCTCAGCTGCTTCTTCCTTCCAGGTTTTCAGTAGAAGCGAAGGAGGAAGGAAGAGCTGTCAGTCAGCCAGTGCTGGCCTTATGTTGTGATTGGGGGGTGAGATATAGCACTTTCTCTCCTAATCAGCACAATAGTCCTGAGCCACAGGCGCTTCAACCCTTGTCCCTGTTTCCCTAGTCTCCTGCCTCATGCCTTGTACTAGGCCCTGAGCCCCAGCACTCAATTCCATGCTACATCCATAAAAGTGCTTACTCAGCGATGCTGATGTTAGGGTGGTCCTTTCACCCCCACCCACCCCTCCTCCTAGCCCCCACCCCTAGCTCACTCTCCCACCCTCATCCCCACACATGCAGGAAGTGTTGGTTTGAGTGGCTGCTTTTCAGACCAGAAACGATTCAAAGCGGTAACTAGATCCTGCTGCTGATGGGAGGGAAACCGAGGCAGATGGTGGAAGTGATGAGAGACACATCACACATCACAGGGACTGGGCCTGCTGTTCCCCACATCTGGAGGGGTGTGCAGGCCTTGTTTGATTTCATTTTCCTCTGCCGGGAAGATGCAGGCCTCTTGGCCAGAGTTCAGAGCACAGCCAGGGCATGATTCAGAGCTGGGAGGGACACATGTGTGAGAAAAGATTAGCAGAGGCAGGGGAGACAGGCCAGAGTGACTCAGGGCAGATCAAAGCAAAAGGGGTGTGGGTGGGGGGTAGGGGAGACACCTGTGGGACCCACGGGGGGCTGGGGTGTGGGCTGCCAGATACCACTTGGAGCCATGGAATTCCTCCCCGGGTGGCAGAGGTGTCTGGGGACTCCAGTGGCAGTGGCAGAGGCCTCTGTGGGGTTACCCCAGGACTGTCTGCAGGGGCTAATGCCTACGGTAGCCTGTGGACTCTCCAGTTCCCCCTGGCTCTGCTTCTGTTCGTGGGGCCCCAGGCAGGCCTCCTTCTCCTCTGGCCTCAGGATTGTCACCGAGGTCTGTCAAGGGGAATTTTGAGAGTGCCAACCAGAGCTCCTCACCATGTCTGGGAGGCAGGGGAGCAACTGGGAGCCTGGGATGGAAGCAGGTGGAGAGGTGGGGAAACAGGGAAGAGGAAGGAGCCCTTGAGAAGGTCTGGTGGTGTGAGACTCGAACACTCAGAGAAATACAGAGATCCACAGAGAAGAAGTAGCGGCAAACAGACTCAGAGGAGATGTTCGTCCACTCTAGAGGGTTGTGGGTCACTGTGACCTGCAAGGCGCCAAGGACCCAATTGCAAGTCCAGGCTTCAGGTTCATATAAGCCACTGCACCTCCGCCATCTCATCTGTAAGTTAGGGAGCCAGCAATTTCCTCACAAACCCTCATGCACACGAAGCCCTTAACATAGCACCCCATACACAGTAGATGTCCCATAAGTTCTGGGACAGACACTACAAATAATGCAAACAGCAGTGTGCTTGCCTGCTCCATCCCTTGACTCCTTCCAGCATCTGTTCCTGCCCTAACCCCCAAGGGCTATGGCTCAAAGGAGTTGTTGGACCACACATGGTTATGAAAACCCACAGGGCACAGTAGGATGACACCATTCCCCACTTTTCTCTGTCACATCTGGAATTGCCCTGGGGCACCAGCTCATAGACCATAAGAGGCAGGGTTGTAGGAGGAAGGGGTAGTGAAGGCTGGGATGCAGGAGGCAGGGCTGTGGGAGGCTGGGTTGCAGGAGGCAGGGCTATGGGAGGCTGGGATGCAGGAGGCAGGGCTGTGGGAGGCTGGGATGCAGGAGGCAGGGCTGTGGGAGGCTGGGTTGCAGGAGGCAGGGCTGTGGGAGGCTGGGTTGCAGGAGGCTGGGTTGCAGGAGGCTGGGTTGCAGGAGGCTGGGTTGCAGGAGGCAGGGCTGTGGGAGGCTGGGTTGCAGGAGGCAGGGCTGTGGGAGGCTGGGTTGCAGGAGGCTCTCTACAGAACAGCGGAGCTGCAGGGGAATCAGTGAGATTATCTCCCATTGGCAGCTGACACACACTTCTATGTACACCCTGAACTGCCAGGATGGAGGTTGTCTGATCCACAGATAAGGAAACATGCCTAGAGTGGGGAAGATATTTGACCAAAAGAACACATTTGGCCAAGCAGAAACCAAATCCAGGATCTAGAGACACACCAGAAACAGGTCACAGAAGGTCTTGTGCCTCTGCCGGGATGCTTGTCTCCTCACAGCTACTGCTGGCCCATGTCGTGTCCCGCCACAGTGACCCATCTGGAATTCCCTACTCACAGGCCTCTCAAGTCTCAGGTGCTTGGTCGTGGTCCTCCACAGCCTGCTGAAGTGGCCTCAGCCAAGCTGGATGGTGCTGGGGAGAAGTCACCTCTTCCAGGAAGCCCTCCCTACTCTCCTCACACCTGCTCCTCACTCCCTCAGCATTTTCTCATTTTCACTGTCACAGGAGCTATTGTCATCTCCCACCTACAGGACTGAGAGCTCCTTCAGGTGGGGGCCAGAGCTGGTTTGTCTCTATATCCATGTTCCAAGCACAAAGGGGCCTGCCCATGGAAATGTTAAAGAACAAGCAGACAGACCATGGGCATGTGAACGGTTTGAACGAATAAAATCAAATGACACACTCTCCATCCCTGCTTTAGTTCACATCCCTGCTATGTGACTACAAGGGCTCCTGTCCACATCTGTTGTTGCTTCTCCTGCCTCTTCAAGCTGGCCATATTGTCTTCCTTGGCCAACAAGAAAAGTAGTGTGCCAATCCCAGGCTAGACCTCAGAAGCCAGCATGCCTCGGTCCTATTCCAGAACCCAGCCATGCACGTGAACCATCTCAGAGGGATGATGGCCAGAGATGAATCCCTCAAGGTAAGTTCCAGAGATGCAGAAAACCAAGCTGACATCATAAAGCTTGCCTGAAGCTAGCCAGAGATACATATGAGTCCAGGAAGTATCTCCTAGCTCATTCTGAGACTTGTAACAAATGGTCTCATTGTTTGCTGCTGGACTTTGAGATTATTCATTACACGGCAATAGTTAATTTATGCAAATGCACACGCATGTGGATGGAAACAAACTAGAAGAGCACAGCTGCAGAGGGAGGACGAGAAGGCAAGTCTCCTGATGTCTCACCTTGTACACATCATGGCTGTCCAGAACAGCATCAAACAGCGTGTAGAGGTCATTGAGGAAACTCACCACCTCAATGGGCTCACTCAGGGCTGAGATGGTGGTGAAGCCCACGATGTCACTGAAATAGATGGTGACCTGGTCGAAGTACTCTGGCTCCACAGTTGTTCCCATCTTCAGAGCATTGGCGACAGACCTGAAGGGGTGGGAGAGGCCAGGTGAGGACCCTGTTTTTACAGTTTGGAGGCTGGGGATATGGTGGGGAGGAAGTCCCTGCTCGACTGGTGTGCCAGCTATGCTGGACAGACCTGTGCTACTTTCTCAGAAGTGAGCTGGGAGCGCTGTGGCCACTCCTTGCTCCCAGGCTGTGGGCAGGAGGTGCTCAACACTGGTATACATAGCTCAGTGCCCAATACATGAGGAAAGGTTAGAAAAATAAGTTAGATAAATGAGAAGAAATGAGATTGGGGGTGGGGTGGTTCGGTCAGTGGAGGTGTTGTACAAGATGAAGACCTGAGTTTGATTCCAGAACACACATAAAAGTCCAGGGTGGTATGCCAGCTTGTAAGCCCAGCACTGAGGAGGCAGAAACGGGAAGATCCCTGGGGTTTTCCATCAGCCCAGCCAAACTGCAGACCATGAAAAGAGACTATCTCAAAAAACCACCATGGAAGATATCCTAAGAAATGACACTTGGTGTTGACCTCCGTCCTCAAATACATGTGCATTCAAGTTCTAAAGCACGTGTGGGGCCAGGGAGCTTCTGGTGCTTACAGACATGCACTAGGGGAACCCAGGATGTCAAGCACACAGGGTTGTTCCTTCAAGGAAAGGAATACAAAATTCCATTTTCCACCCAGAAGGCTGGAGAAGACATGCTTTCTAGCCTGGTGACCTTTGTGCAATCTATGTGACCCAAGTTGTTGGCACCTGACCCTACCCCAGACCCTTCTCATAAAATTTTCTTTCTCGGTCACTCTAAAGAGCCCATCTTCGCGGAAGGTGTCATGTGTGCTTACAGAGTTTCACCATAGTCAGGTCTGATCTGTACTTAGCTCACTGTGTTGCACTTGAATACGCCTGAGGTGAACAACTTGGGTCAGACTCCCCAAGTTTGAACCAACCCTGGCTACTGAGTGGTGTTGCGCCAAACTGCCTTCTTGCCTCCAGGGCTGGTCCCACTGATGCCCCCAATGGTTGCAGAGACCCCTACAGGTGTTGCCCAGGGTGGGGCTACTTTCCATCCTTTGTGGTAAACCTTCCCAATGATGTGGGGTCCTTGGCTGTTGATGGATTAAAGTGGGAACAGAGAAAGCCAAACATTATCATCAGGATGTAAAGGAGTATAGAAAAGGTAGTCTTTGAAGTCCTACAGTAACCTAATGTCCTTGAGGAATCATGATACAAGTGTAGAAGCCTGGCTGGAGGCTGCCCATTGTTCTCATGATGCCACTGAGATCATGTAATAGTTAAAAATTATTCTTTGTTTTTTTTTTAATGAATTATAAAAAGGGGAATTCCAAGAACAGACTGAAGTGTCTATATGTCCTAGCTGTTAATTGTTCCTTTACTAGAAGTTGGTTCTGTTTTAATTTTTCCCATGAAAGGCCACTGACGAAGCCATACTGGGTCAGTTTCGCCCTTGATTCTGGGGCTGGGGGTTGCTCCCTGGGAGTTTGAAGGCTTTCCATCCTTGTCATTGTAGATCACCATTTCTTATGTCACTGTTTTCTCTTTTTGCACCTTGGGAAAAGACGGGGGCCTGGGACATGGGTGGAGCTTGGCGCCTTGAGCTGGGCATGAGGAGCCAGGGACAGCCTCAAGGGCAGCTCCTTAGTGGCGCTACCACCCCTTGAGCAAGAGTGGGAGCCCCTCAGCCCCTCAGCGAGCCTCACCCCTGCTGAAATGTGTCTGGAGGATCCTCCTCTTTATTATGGGCCTCTTGAAGAGGATCCAAGAAATACATTACAGCAGTCCAGACTGCAAAATAACTGGCAGGGATCTTACTCCCTTCTTCCTTGTTCAGGAAACCAAGGGTTGAATTTTACAGTCACTTGCACAAAGTCTCAGAGCTGTGCTCTGAATGTTTTGCACCCTGTATTTTTTAGCAGACACCTCAATAATTGTATAAAATGCTTTGCCTTAAAGGACTGAGAAGAGTCTGTGCTACTTCACTCTCACTTACGGTCAAGCCTCCTTGGTCCTTGGGTGAGATGACCAAACTCCTACCCTCTGCTTCTGTTTAAAGAAAAGAAGTCTTAACTCCTCTGAGGGTCGAGGCCCACATGTTGGACATCTGTTGAGAGAGTCTCTTCGACCTTTGCAAGTGGCACTGGGAAAGCCCCTGGAGGCACGAGGCAGTTTGGTGCAACACTACTCAGTAGCCGGTGTTGGTTTAAACTTGGGGAGTCTGACCCGAGTTGTTCACTTCCGGTGTATTTAAGCGCAACACAGTCTGGTGAGAAACCGAGTGCACAACAACCATGCCTAAATCTCTTTGAGTAACAAGGTAAGCAAAGTACAGCTCAGACCTGACTATGGTGAAACTCTGTAAGTGCACGTGGAAAATGGGTTTTGTATTGTTTTTTTTTTTTTTTTTTTTCCTTTGAAGGAACAACCCTGTGTGCTTGACATCCTAGGTTCCCCTAGCACAGTGGTTCTCAACATGGGGGCTGTGACCCTTTGTGGGGTCAAATCACACAATCCACTAACACCTGCCACCCACAAAGACAACAGGGATTGAACCATGGTTCTAAAGAAACACAACTACTGTCACTGCCAAGCAGAGAGAACCCTCTTTGGGGTTTTCATATCAGGACACTGTGGTCATAAATGACACCTTTTTCTAGCCGTCACGTAAGGAAGCTAAGAGAACAGGGTTCCATTCACAGGGGTTGCCTAAGACCATGGAAAGACACAGTATTTACATTATAATTCATAACAGTTGCAAAATTACAGTTACGAAGTCGCAACAGAAATAAGTTTATGTGTAAGGTCATCACAACATTAGGAACTGTATTAAAGGGTCATGGCATCAGGAAGACTGAGAACCACTGCCTTAGTGCATGTCTATCAGCACAAAGACCTTTGTGCCCCCGTGTGTGTGTGTGTGTGTGTGTGTGTGTGTGTGTGTGTGTACATGTACACAGTAAGTAGGAATGAATTGGAGGTCAGGTTCTCTGAACACCTCCTGAGTTCTAGAGTCCCAGAGGAGAGTAGGCTAGAGGCACACTGGCATCCCCAGGCCACTCACGGAGGGAGCATCTGTGAGAGCAGCCTTTCTGTTTTCCGCCGCTCCAGTTCCAGCTCTTCAGTGCGCTCCTGGACCAGGCCCTCCAGGCTTTGGGAATACTTCTCCAGCATCCGCAGCATGGAGTCAGCAACACTTGTCTTCTTGCCTTGGTTGATGCTTTTGAACTGGAGAGAGAAAAAGATCTCAGTTTCACTCATAAGAATCAACGCCTCCTGCCCACAGCTTGGACTAGAGGAAACTATAAATAAAGGGGGGGGGGCGGGAAAGGACTAAATCCAGGAGTGAGGTTTCCATGTAGCAATTGATCATTGTTTAGATATAGGCTTCTTAGCAACAAAACCAAAATGGAAACACAGATCGCACAATCCACCAACACCCTGGCAGACAACAGGGGATTGAACCATTGTTCTAAAGAAACACAATACTGCTACTGCCAAGCAGAGAGAAACCTCTTTGGGGTCTTCGTATCAGGACACTGTGGCCACAAATGACAACTCTTTCCAGCTCTCACACAAGGAGACTAAGAGAACAGGGTGGGTTAGTTATCCAAAACAGCAGATGAGAGCTGGCTGGTTCAGGCCTTCTGACCCTGCCCTCCCTGATGTGTGATTCAATCCCACCTTTGCCATGCTGAGCACAGTGCTTGCCCAGCCAGCCTTCTCCGCCATGGGCCGCACAGAGGGCTCTTTCTCAGTCACCCTTCACTCAGAGCCAGTGCCTCCTCCCCTGGATTTCCCCCTAGGATGACCTCTAAGCTCCCCAGGAAGATGGCAGCCTTTTGCTCATTCTAACTCATTTATCCTCCCCCACCATTGTGACCCTTGGGGTTTGTTAACTCTGAAGTCCAGATGGTCATCTGTGAAGTGGGTGCCACCCATGATGCTACAGTATGCATGGGTGTGTGTGCCAATGTCCCAAGGAGCCTTGTAGGTTGTCTGGTGTCTGCCATGCTGCCTCTGTCCCTCCTCACCTGCCCCTCTGAACTGTTGAACTTCACCTTGGTAACTTTGTGCTGTGGCTGGGGACTATGAGACCAGAACAGGATGTAGAGCTGTGCCCCTGGGTTTGATGGGTTGGCCCTGGAGAAGAACTACCCTGCTCAGTCAGGCCTACACAGCCCGAGAACTCATGCAGGGTTCCCTCAGCCCTCCCACTGAAGGCTAGGGCGACCCCAGAGCCCATCCACTCTCCTCTTCACTGACTAGGAACCAGGCCTATCTCCGTAGCCACTAAAGGCTCCCCTACTCAGGTTTGAGGAGGCCTGGGCCTGGGTGACACCGCTAGGTCACCTGGTCAGGTCCCCTGGGAACTCAGCCTGTTTATCTTCTACAGAGCTCAGACCATGGCAATGGGCTTCAGAGGGTGGTCTTGAGAATGGAATGACTGGAAAAGGGATGGGCACTTAGGATTGCGCTGGCAAACATGGCACTCTACCTCTGTCGTCCCCAGAGTGGTGCTGCTGGCCTGTGTCCCCCGACTACTCAGGGCCAAGTCAGGAGTGGACAGGGGTGCTTCTAAGCTCCTGCCTCTGGGGTGTACCGACCTGTGTGTAGATCTGGTCCAGGCTTGGCCTGTCCTCTGGAGATTCCTCCCAGCACTGCTGCATCAGCTGGATGCACTCACGGGGACCCTGATCAGGGGACACCAGTGGCCGGCACAGAGGAGGGGGAGATGCCACCTTCTGGATGATCTCTGCAGCAAATTCCATGGGTACCTTAGGTCAAGATGTCCTGAGGGATTATGGGAGGAGTCCTGTGGTAGGGTAGGGAAGGGGGACTTGGGCCTTAGGCATGCTCCTAGGACTTTTCATCCATGTCTCCTGCACAGCTGGAGTGTACACAGCCTCTCTATTTTCCTGGGTCTGCCTCAGGCTGTGGCCAGAGGAAGAGAGTCTCAGACTTGGGCCAGGAGAGCTGGGTTCAATATCTGCTACCACTCTCTGTGAGGTGGCAGAGAAGATGGAAATCCCTCCAGCCTCAGTCTCCTCATCTGTGAAATGGGGTCAGAGGGCCTCCTCTTGAGGAGTGCTGAGGGAGGAGGTGTGGAAGGTAGTGCTTGGCACCTGGCAGGCTCTCCCCAAGGCTGCTGTCCTGGCAATTCCCACCCTTGTGGTCGGAACATGACAGCATAGCTCTCCATACCTGTCTCAACACCCAGAGACTACTCCTCCCCAGAGTGACGTGAATACAGACCTCATCATCCAAGACACTCCTGCTCTGCAGGGTGAGGCCCATACATCAAGGCCACAGAGACCAGTTCTCTAGCTCTCTGGTTCTGCCACTCTATACCTCAGTCCCACACCCCACCCCAGACAACGCCTCTGGCAAAGCTAAGAGTCTGTCAAGACTGAGTAGAAGAGGGCTCCGTGCTCAGGCTCTGAGCCCGCAGATCCACATAGGACTTTGGTAGTCCGTGTGCTTTCTGTACAGGTTGAGCCATAGCAGGGCAACCTCTCCTTTTCCACTACAGCCCCCCTTTCCCCACCCTAGGTTGGCCAATGTGTTGGGGATAGTGAGAGGTCTCTGTCTCTTTATGGTTTTGGGTAGGTGTTTGCTTATTTGTTTGAGACAGGGTCTGTCCCAGGCTGGCCCCAAACTGATTACATAGCCAAAGATGATCTTAAATTTCTGATCTTCACGCATCCCAAATGTTGATCTCAATTCTACAAGAATGTGCCACTACGCCTGGTAATACTATGCTAAGGTTCAAACCCAGGGCTTTGTTCGTGCTAGACTATCACTCTACCTACTGAGCTATATCCCTAGCCTTGATTGTTGTGTCTTGGAAATAAGGAAGTCCATGGCTTGTCTGAAACTCCCAGTGCAGCTCAGGCTGTATTCAAACTTGCTAGCTATCCTCCTGCCTCTGCTTTCCGAATCTTGTGCCACCATGCACTGGCTATGAATGCCCAGCATTACAAACAGGTAAACTAAGGCTCTTGGTGTGAAGGGGGGCACCTATACAGGCCAGTAAAAAGCAGATCTGGCAGTAGGCTTGATTTCCACTCGGCCTGTCTACAGGGTCCCAGCCTGCAAGGGCCTCAGCCCACAAGCACTAAGAGGCTGTGTGCTCACAAAGAAGTGCGCACAGATGGGAGTGATATGGAGCGTGCACACACGCGCAGCTGTGTTTTAAAAGCACCCCGTCTGCATTGTGATGAGTGAAACGTAAATCCATTTCAAAGCATCGCCGGTTTCTGAACAGCATCTGTCATCGGGTGTTTCTGCAGTCAGCAGATAGTAAAAGCTGAAGACAGCATGGGGCTCATAGGGGCTCCAGCATTCTGAGTAGGGTGTGTATGTGTGGGGGGTGAGTAGGGGTGCATGTGCACAGATGGCACACATGTAGAGGTCAGAGGTCGGTGTTGAGTGTCTCCTTCAATCGACCTCCATCTTATTTTTAAAGACAGGCGCTCTCACTAAACCTGGAGCTTGACAATTTGGCTAAACTGTCTGGCCAGCAATCCCCCCACCATCTCCTCCTCCCTAATGCTTTGCCATTACACCAGCTTTTTATGTGGGTTCTGGGGATCCAAACTTGGGTCCCCGTGATTGCATGACGAGCACTTTGCTGACCAAGCCATCCTCCCAGACCTGGGTTTCACAGCATCTTTGAGGATTAAAAGACTGAAGCCTAATATGAAAAATGGCCCTAGGCTGGTCCCCAGGTCCTCTTGCTCTGTCAGGCCAAATGTCCACGCCCATTGCATCTCTGTTCTCAACAGTGCTGGTTTCTGTGTAGGAGGCTGCTCACCTGGTCCCTAAGAATGCCATGCCTGGATGAGGAGACCTTCATCCTAACGCCACTCCCTGCTTGAGAAGACCCTGCCCTGCTTTGAGAATTACTTAAATCTTCTCTGAAAAAGCTCATTGGTCAGTCACTTCCCAGGGCATCAGACAGAACACTACAGATAGTGCCTGGGAACCCACAAAGGGTCCGATGCACTCAGACATCCTCTAAAACATTGGCTGCAGGAGAGAATGCGAGACCCCCATTAGCCTATCCCCAAACTACCCAGGCGGATTTTACTGTGCAGCTACTATCATGTTTCAGGCCCTTGATCTGTGTGCAAAGCTGCACACAGGGTGACTTTGTGAGGCTGGCACCCTAATACCCATTTTACAGGTAAGGAAACTGAGGCTTAGACCTAAAGAGGATTTATTCAATATTGTGGAGCAAATGGCTGTGGCTTTAGACCTAGTTCCCAAAGCTAAGCTCTGGATCCTGCATTTTCCAAGGATGGAAAGAGCACATTCCAGGAAGCAGCAGGCTTGGACTGAGCCCTATCTGAAGGTCCCTGATCCCTGCCCCCCAAAGGTCGCTATCCTACCTGGAGGGTTTTACCTGGAAACAAGACTTGCAAAAACCATCTGGGTGGTCTTTCTTTTCCACATCAGGCAGATGTGCAGCATGGAGGCCAAATGGCCCCCTAGATCTGAAATCTTGCCCCTCGTTAACTTCCTAAACCCAGGCCTGAAATGGGCAGGTCTGCTGGGCAGGACTTTGGTGGAGGAAGGGGAAGGTCAGGCCCCTATTTATAGGACAGGTCTCTGGGACTGGACAGACATAGTGGGGGGGGGGCAACTGCAGGAGCCCTGACCCGAGGGTGCGAGAAAGCCTACCTTCTGCTGAGAGTCCCCAGGAGCAGTAGGGTGGGCCTCGGGTAAGTACCTCCTGCAGGACGATGCCCAGGCTGAAGACATCGCCTTTGAAACTGGCCTTCCCAGGCCCCCCAGGCCCCCGCAGCCGCTCAGGAGCCATCCACAGAAGCTCTGGAATCACAGGACAAGGTCTCTCACTGTCATCTCTGTACCTGAGAGGGCCTAGACACATCTGTTCTCCTGAGAGTAAGGGCCTCAGGTTCTTCCAGAACAGAAAACCCACCAATTTCAGGTCCCAACACAAACTGTGGGACACTGGAGGTCTCTCCCTCCCCTTGCTTTACCAATACCAACATAGCATTCCCTACTGGTGGCCCCTGCCGCCAAGCTGACCTTCAGGGGCCGGCTGCGGCCTAGGAGAACAGTGAGATTCCAGAAACTCTTCATAGCCATGGTCAGTGATCTTGAGCACAAAACGACTGTCCACCACACAGTTCCTGGACTTGAGGCGCCCGTGGGGGAAATGCCGATGGTGCAGATACCGCATACCCTGGAAGGGGACATATGGGTTATTGAGAAGTGAGAAGGACTATGTAATATGCACAGGACTCAGAGGCCTTCTGGCCTCAACTCATTCTTTGCTTTGTCGGATTTCAAAGCAGTGAGAAATCTGAGCATGTCCCCTCCCATTGACTCTTAGCTCCTGGCAGGCTCTCACCCTGATCAGATCCAGCAGCAGGGAGGCCTTGAAAGTCCAGTCTAGCCTCAGGGCCTCATTCCGAAGCAGGTCCTCCAAGCTGCCACGGGAACAGTGCTCCAGCACCAGAGCCCTAAACTCAGGTCCCACAAAAAGGCCCAGGAAAGCCGTAACATTCTCATGCCGCATCTCCCGCATCTGCAGGGGCAAAAGGCACCTTAGCGGCCCCTGAGGATAGATAGATGAGTAATGGGGTGTGAGGATGCAGTGAGTAGATGGGTGGATGGATGGGCAGACAGACAAGGGAATAAGTGGGTAGATAGGTAGATGGGTAGTGGGTGGTGGGTGGCCAATAGGTGGGTGGATAATTGGATGGATGGACTGATAGATGAATATGGATGGAGACAGGATTTGGATGAGTGAATAGATAGGTGGATGACCAGATAGACACATTAATGGATAAATGGATAGATTGGTAGAAGAGTGAGTGGATGAATAGAGTGAATACATGAATGAATAAATGAACAAATGAGTGGACGCATCATAGATGGATGAGTGGAGGAGCTGTAGGTACCTCCACACAGTTAGCTCTAGGTCTGTTTCTCAACCTAACCGACACCATTGATCTGAACACTATTTATTGAGCCTCTCCCCAGCAGCCCACAGATTTGCAGGTTGGAGAGCAGAGGGGCTCCTGCCTGCAGTGAAGGAAGGCAACCACCCCAATGGAGGGCCCAACATGGACAGATCGAAACTCTGTCAGGCAAGGCCTTCTTCACAAAAATGGCTCAGAACTAGGCTAAATGGGGAGGGCTGCCTGCATGTTCTCCCTCCTCTGAGATACCCAAGAATAGCAGCATGCTTGGAGAGGTAAGAATGGCCCCAGAGTTGTTCACACTCCTGCCATAGAGAGGTGACCTCGGTCCCTCCCCGAGTGTGCTCTGTGACTAGCATGAGCCACAGAACACAGTAGGGGAAGTCTTTTATGTCTTGGGGTTCAGGTCTTAGGGAGTGGCAGCTCCCATTTCTCATTTCTTACAGTATCCCAAGTCCTTCCCTGAGTCAGAGAGACCAGTAGACAGCCTCGGGAGTATAAGAAAGAAGTCAGATCCCCTCTGGGCTCAGTCTTCACCTGCCTGGCCCATGAATGAACCAAGAAACCACAAGTTTTTATAAAAAGGCCCCAATAACAAATATTTTAGGCCTTGCACATCTCTACCACAGGGACAGAAAAGCATCTAGAGACAACACATAAAGGAGGGAGTGTGGCTTTGTCCCAACTTATTTATGACAAGTACTGGGTCAGATCTGGCCTGCAGGCCATGGCTCGCCAAATCCCAACAGCTGAGCTCCACAACTGATATCCACATCACAAAATTGAACAGAATTGTCCAACTGAGTCCTAACCAAATTTCTTACAAAAATGTAAGATAGAAAAGCATCATTGTTTTTGGCCATTGCATTTTAGGGTGCATGGTTACACACCAGCAGATAGCCAGAATGGCAGACAGTAAAGGCTCTGAGAAGTTCTGTGGCTACACTCAAGCAACCCGAAACTTGGTTGACCCACATATAAGACCTTTCTTAGAAAAGCTGTTGACACTGGCTACAAGGGAAATGCTTAACTATCCCCAGTCAGTTAATCTCCTTCTCACACTGGTTGCAGGGAAATGACTAACTGCCCCCATCACCTAATCTCTCAGAACTGCATTTCTGATAGCTGATGCTGGGTATTATAGAAAATGGCAAAAGTCACAGTTTGATGAAATCTCCCATTTCTCAAAGACATACTATTTGCCAGGGACAGTTCTAGGTTGTTCTATACATACCTTGCCCTCCCCACAGCTCTCCTGGGCTGGGCAGTATTGGCTCTGCCTAATGGGGTAGCCAGGTATTCCATGGAGGCAGGAAACCTGGACTCTGCCCTCCCTCCCATGTGCTTCTCTAATGGTGATAATCTTGGGGGAAGGTGCTTATGTGGACCTTGATGGTGACTGAAGCTCCCTCAGGAAAAAGAACCTCTTCTCCTAAGCCCAGAACTCTGCCTGGCACATGAGTAAACAACAGATGCAGGAATGGATACAGGGAGGCAGGCACAGGCTTAGGATCCTTGGTGGTACCCAGATTCTATTGCTGGGGGAGGAAGAGCTGTACCAGACAATTTTGGTGAGGTTAATGTTTGGGATCTTGACATGTCTTGAGGGATGCTGATGTGTGTTGGTGACCATGATGATAGCTAACTGATGAGATGCTGTCACTGGACAGTGATAACAATGAAAGCAATGACTTTCCTAGGCCAGAAGCTTGCCCAGGGAGTAGGGACCAATGCAAACCAGGAAGGGTATCACAAACATGTACCTTTCTGGCCTTGGCACCCCTCTGCCTGTGGTCTTACCTTCCTCAGGAGGCCGAGGCTGCTTGGCCTCAGCTCAGGAGCTATGCCTGCTTCAAACTTCTTCAGCCATACCCAGTCTCCCTGTTTAAGCAAGAACAAGTTTGAGTCAGAAGGTGGTGGTGCACACCTTTAATCCCAGCACTTGGGAGGCAGAGGCAGGCGGATCTTTGAGTTGGAGGCCAGGTTGATCTACAGAGTAGTGTTCCAGGACAGCCAGAACTACCCAGATGAAACCTGACTCAAAAAACAAAAACAGAACAAAACAAAAACCCTAAAAAACAAAACAAATCAAGAACAACAACAAAACCCCTTTCCTGAAGAGAAATGGAGGAGGAGAGGCTTGGTGGTGGGGGAGGAGAAGGGCAAGCTGGGAGGAAAAGTGGGAGGGAGGGGCCGGGAAGAGAGCAGGGAGTGAAACTGCAGTCGGATATAAAAAGTATAAATAAATAAATATGACATGAACACTCAAAAACAGAAAAACAAGAGTTCGCCTGCTTTAGTTTGCTAGCTAGGTGATCACAGGACAATTCCACCATCTCTTGTCCTCTTCTGTGTTCCGAGCTGGGCATAGCCTGGTCAATGGGCGCAGTAAGCAGCCTTTTCTGAGACGGGGGGGGGGGGGGGCAGGCTCTGGCTGGGGACCCAAGGCCCACTCCTTACTCTACCTCCCTGGAGCTCTGTGACCTGGGTAGGTAATTTCTAGTCTGAGTCTCAGCTTCCAACTCTGCAAAGTAATGCAGATAACGATGAGGACTAAAGCAATACATCTGGCAAGCAGATTCTGGCTGGAGGCAAGCCTTACCAGGAAGGGCTCAGGTACCTGTGATACACAAGCTGTGACTAGGGGTTGCAGAACGGACATGAGAGAAGGGCAGGAGAGGACAAGGCCCAGCTCTCAGTGTGGTACCAGCCTCCTGCTCAGGTCCCTAGTGGATTGCCTCCGCACAGCCTCACCTGCAGCCTGCTGGCTTTGTGTGTCTTAAAGTCTCCTTTGGGTAGGAAAGGAAAAGGTGGAGTTGCCTGGTGTGTGTGTGTGTGTGTGTGTGTGTGTGTGTGTGTGTGTGTGTGTGGAAAATAAGCAACAAGAACCCCGTGCTGCTTCCTATGGAAACAACTTTGGCAGCCATAGAAAAATAACACATCTTAGTAAATAGTTGAACTCGACACTGACTGCATCTGTACTCTCAGCAACCATCATCTTGCTTGTCTGACCTTTGACTCTGTAGATTCCCTGTCAACTGGAGGTTCAGCTTCTTCCTGGAGGTGTCTGTGGCTAGGCACTGCCTTTACTGGGTTTAGGGACAGGAAATCTCACTGCTTGAGCTGGTGGGTGATCTGAGCCAAGGCCAAAGCCAAGTGGCTGAGACTGTCTGACCGCCAGGGTCAGCCCACGAAACATGCCGGTGAGAGCTAAGTGTCTGTTTCCCTTTTCTGGGGCTGCTGTCCATGCGCTAGGGGAACCAGAAAAGTCCCAACAGATGGGAGATGTCATTCTGTAAATATGTTTCTCTTATTGGTTAATGAATAAAGCACTGTTGGCAAGTAGGAAGGGTGGGACTAGGAGAGGTGGAAAATTCTGGGAAATGTAGTAGAGTCAAGATGTGATCTTGAGGAGAGAGGACACAAATCTGGCCTTGTCAGTAAGATAAGACTGTGGAGAAATACATATATTAGTAATTATGGGTTAATATTTAAAACACAGCAAGCCAATAAGAAACACTAGTAACCAGCCAACAGTTTTAGAACTAATACAGTATCTCTGAGTGTTATTTGGGACTGATGTGGCTGTGGGACCAGGCTGGCAGGAAAGTGCTCATAACAAAATGGTGCCTACAATGTGGGCACTAAGAAGTTCCATTTAAAACTTGACAAAAGCTTAAAGAGATTTTAGAAACAAAAGAACACAGACAAGCAAGATTTCTTGGTATCATCATTCTCAGGCTCTATTTTGCTAGAGACAAGCAGAGATTTGTGCAGCTCCTATAAGGGAGTCTTCTTGACTGCCCTATAAGCCACAAAAAAAAAAAAAAAAACCTGCAGGGTTCTTTTAAGAGGCCCTGCTAACAACTGAATGGTGTGTATGAGCTGCTGGCAGTGGCAGTGACCACATCTCCAAGCCAGCAGCATGTTGCTTGATGGCAATATAGACCAAGGCAGTGAGCACAGCTCTCAGTGCTAGCTGTAAACGTACCCCCACCATCTTGGATAGATGGTGGTTAAAACAGCTGCCACTTTAATTTTAGCAATATGTTGTTTAGCAGATAAAAAACTCATGGCCAGAAAAAGATAAAGATTTACAGTAAAGACAGATCAAGATAAAGAAAAACCTCTAAAGGTTTACAGTGTGTTTTAAAATATACATAGGCTTGGGAGAGAAAGAAACAGGATAAAGTGATTTCAAGGAAGGAAGGGAGGAAGGAAGAACGAAAGAAAGAAAGCATATCTGGGTGTGGTGGCACATGTCTTTAATTCTACCGCTTGGGAGGCAGAGGCAAGGAGATCTTTGTTATTTCAAGGTCAGCCTGGTGTGCAGAGTGAATTTCAGGGCAGCCAAAGTTACACAGAGAAACCCTGTCTTTAAAAAATGAAAAATTAGAAGTAAGTAGAGTAATAAAAAAGTCACCTAAGGATGGGAAATACCAAAGAGCCTGGATACTGTATGCTATTATGTTGTCTTTGTATTGCTCAATTGCTAAGGAAGGAATAACAGATGTTAAAATACATTTGATTATCAATGTTGCTAAATTAACTCAACTTATATATTTTAAAAATGCTTTGACTTCAAAATTTAAGTCTAAGTAGAGGTTACTGTGGAAAAGAATTTCTATTTTTGTTTCTACAGAAAATGAAAAGCTGTGGATTCCTTCCAGACTTACATGGTTTGATCAAGCAAGACCCTCTGAAGCAGTGTCCCAGGTGATCCAACATTCAAAACAGCTAGAACAAAGCAGCCTTGTAGACTACAGCTAGGATTTCTGTATCTTCTTAGGATCCCCCATGGTATCACAGCATCCCTAACCAGCAGGAAGCAGTTTGGAAAGAAAGACATCCAAATTCCAAAATATTGTCTATAAATGTTTGTTTTCATCTAAATGGGGTTGGTTATAAATGATTAATGATCACAACCAATTTCTTTTTAAAGGTAAAGAGAGGATTATGGTATAGAAATGATACGTATATTTCTCCTCTTGTTTAGGTATTGTGTTTATATAGCTCATTTTAAAATGTAATGTATAATTAATACAAATTATAGATAGTTATCTATAATAGTCAAAACTTATAGTTAGGTTTGTTAGGCTTTTATAGTTATATGGAGATTTATTTCAAATGGATAGGCATTCTTCAAACTTTTCAAAGACCTACAGAATATGGTATTTAAAATGGTTTAGGGTTTTCCTGGCAGTGAGACATAACTGCTACTGGCAACACCAATTGTGTCACAAAGGAAGATGGACATCAAAGAACCTCATTATGCAGTTTGCTTCCAATATGACAAGACTAGCCATTTGGGCAAGAAACTGCTCCTGTCTGGACTGTTAGACTATGTGCTTTATAAAGTAGACATTCAGGACCCACAGAAAAGTGACTGCTGATATAAGATGGACATTGCTACAGGATTCTTGCTTCATGGAAGAGTTTACCAGACAGTCTGCAAGACACAGAGAAAAGTGACCTGACAAACTACCAATACAGGTGGACAGGTTAAAGTGTCCAGTCTGCCAGACACACTATGGCTTATGGGCCAAAGATGGAACATTACAAAAGAATTTCGGGTGACTGACCAGACAGCTAGTTGTCTGTCATTTCTAGAGTTTATATATTATCCTTCTGTAGTCTTTGATGGAGTTGACAGATAGTTGTGGTCATAGCTTTCCTTAGTTAAGATTAAAGATAATTTACATATAAGACTTTAGACTCAAAGATAGGATAGATTATAGAACATTTTCTTTAATTCCTGATAATTTTAATGGACTAAATATTATTAACTTTAGTTCTTATTTGATAACTGTTTTGTCATATGTAATTTTACTATGTTAAAATTAAAGCCCTTCTTTTTATTTTAGACAGAAAAGAGGAGATGATGGGAGATGTCATTCTGTATATATGTTTCTCTTATTGGTTAATGAGTAAAGCTCTGTTGGTCAATAGGAAAAGCAAGATAGGTGGGACTAGGAGACAAGGAGGATTCTGGGAGATGTAGGGAGGAGTCAAGATGTAGAACATGACCGAAGAGGTCCAGACCCTCTCTCGGGTAAGATCACGTGGAAACACTTACATTAATAGAAATGGGTTAACATTTAAGACAGAGCTAGCCAATAAGAAACACTAGTAACCAGCCAACAGCTTCATAATTAATACAGTGTCTCTGTGTGTTATTTTGGTACTGACATGGCTCTGGGACAAGGCTGGCTAGAAACTGCTTGTAACAAAACTCAGAAACCAAAGACTGTCTTTGATTGGCTTCTTCCAAACTGGCCATAGCCTTCCAGGCCTGGTGTGGGGTGGTGACAGCCCTCACCTGGTACAGGGCCACATTGGTATGCTCCAGGAGGGCAGGCAGGCTTCTTGATGACCCCTGGATCACCGACCTTGGGCTCCCACCTTCCACCGCACTCCTTGACTCACTGCCACTGTCCACATGCAGTCTCTGGAGCAGGAGCAGAGGTGGTGAAGAGGCCAGACCCAGCCTGCCTCTCTGCTTACCTGCCCACCCAGCCCAGGCCTGCACACGCACCCGCCGGCTGGGGGTCCGCTGGAGGAAGGTGAGATCCTGGGCTGTCAGCAGGATCCGATGGGGGCCCCGCAACAGCTGCAGCTGCTGGAAGCCAAGCCTGGATGTGAGAGAAAGTAAGGCCTCAGCCAGGCTTTTGCCCTGTCTCTGACTCAGTACCCACCTCCTAATCTTTCCAGGTCACCTTCAGTGCCAGCCTCAGGGCTGGCGGGCACCAAGAACCATCTACACAGAGCCTGTTGGCCTTGGGTTCAGGTCTGAACCTCCCAGGGCCTGATGGGCCTACTGGTGTGCAGACCAGTTTCCTTGGGACCTTTGTTGGAGGTGAGAGTGGAAGGTTACCCCCTTCCAGATATGGCTGAGGCTCCGGAGCATTTGAATCCAGGCACACAGGGCACAGGGTGGGGGAATGCTTGCAAAGCTGAGGGATCCCTGGGATAGACCTGGTTAGCCCTTCACTGTGCAAACAGGACCCTGAAGCTCAGAGGCAGTCTCATCCAGAGTCACAGGCTTCTTCCTCAAGTCTCAAACAGACCTCTCAGGAGGCAGCCAGGGCTTCCGGTTCTTATTGAGTGCAGCCAAGAGAGGGAAAGGGGGCATAGGCCCTGAGATCAGCAAGTGGAGGTGGCGGACACCCTTGTAGGTTGCCAATGGAGGCTCCATTGGACAGGGATGCAGACAGCCTGAGCCAGGCCCATCAGCCTCACCTGATGAGATAAGCAAGGACACCACCAACCAGTGCCAGGACACAGGCCAGTGTCAGAGTCAGGAGGCCGCCGGGGGGCTGCACACCTGTGCAGGGGAAGGCAGGTGTCATTAACGCAGTGAACATCCCTCATGGCCCTGCTGCTGCTTTTCCAAGCCCTGCCCTGTGAGGTCTCTAGCCATCCCTGTCTGCCACAGGATGAAGCCCCTAGAGGGTGGGGCCTGGCTTTGTCTTCAAATGTCAGTGGGAGGGCAGGGCCTTTGTTCTGTTCTCTCCTTCTCCTCAGAGTGAGCAATGGCAGAACAGGAGGCAGGAATCACTATTTGTAGAAGAGGGACAGGTGAGCAGGTGAGGGCTTCAACCCCTCCCTCTCCAGGAGGCTTCTTGGTATTCACATTCTTCCTGGCTGGACACACTGCTATGAACTCAGGGGAGGAGCTGATGTGTAAGGACCATGGAGGCAGGGGTGTGGCTCAGTGCACTGCTTGCTTATGATAAGGGAGACACATGCCACAGAGCAGATGTGGTCAAGCAAGTGGAGGTGGCACCGGGAGAGAGCAAGAATACAAGCAACCCTGTCAAGGGAGGCCAGGTAGGGGCCACATGCCTGGGGAGGTGCAGGAGTTGCTAGGTCTGTAGGTTAGGGCTGGCAGAACAGGGTTGGCTGAGCCTGGGACAAAAGGAGGCAGGACAGGCAGGGACTTATACAAGCCTGCTCAACCTGTCACTGCTGCCATAATGGCCATGTGTGCATTGGGGAATGTGCTTGTACATATGTGACTGTACACGTGTGTGTTCGCTTCCCTGTGTTCATAGTCACTGTGTCATAAAGGATGATGGCCAGGATGGATGAATGACAGAAATCAGACCTATGTGGGCCTCTTGCCCCACACCCCTCAGGGGACATAAGGAAAATGATTTCCTTACTTGGAGTCAGCAGATTTGGGTTCAAAATGAGCTTAGCCACTGCCTTCCTGTGTGACTTTAGAAACACACCAAGCTTTCTGAACTTCAGTTCTTTAATGGTGTCTATGGGGGGTAATGGCCTACTCACAGGGCTATGGGGTTTTTAGGAGATCTGTGAGCTGGGGGCATCTCTAGCCCTGATCATCCAAGGGAGGCCTTGCTTCTCAGCTACTGGCCAGGCCTTCCATGAAAGGTCATAACTCTTCTTTATATTTGCTCTTGCCCCCTCTCCAGGACTATTCACATGGAGAGTTTTGTTGAAGAATGGGTGAGTAAACAGATGGAGAGATAATATAGGTAGACTGATGGGTAGATGGATGAATAGGTGGGTTGTTGCTAAATGGATGGAAGGTAGGTAGACCAGTGAGAAGATAGATGGATTGGTATATGGATGGATGGATGGATGGAGGAAGGATGAGTGGACAGATGAATGGCTAGACAGATGAAAGATTAGTGGGTGGACAGTGAATTACCTCTTATGCATAGTGTGTTGGGGTCGAACCAGCAGCTGGCATCATGGGCTGGAGGGCTCCCTCCAGGAAAGTGGATAGCTTTTCCTAGGGGCTGCACCTGCCATGTAGTTGTGTCCAGAAGGTGGGTGGGAACCAACTGGCTTCCTTCACCATCTGTGTCCAGTACGACATATCGGGCTAGCCTTCTGCCTTTCCCATCCATCCGGATTCTCTGGTTAAAGCCAGCCACATCAAGAGCTCTTACGTGGTCCCCCAAGTGAGCTCCTGAGAGACTTGCTCCATGGTTCTGAGAGTGGTTCAGGGCATGGGCCAACAGGATGACAGCATCATAGATAGTTCCAAAGAGTGGGGACACCTGTGGAAGAGAAAGTCCTCCATCCTGTTACCGTAGACATCCCAGGGGCCTGCAGGAGTGTTTAGACTCTTGTCCTCTCCCCCAAACAGTCCACTCTTGGGTCACACATTACTCCAGCCCACTGCCCCACTGAGCAGCCTCACAGCCTACGTGATTGCCACCATTACTATTCTACCTCTAACTCAGATGTGTCATAGACATCTTAAATCTTCCAAAAGCAAAACTCTGGGTTCTAGCAGGTTCTCCCTCATTGACCTTTGTTTGGCCCTCATCTGGATGTTTCCTGACCCCTGGGCTACACCCGAGTCATCTTCTCTTGGAGGTCTTCTTGTTCCATCCTGTCCCTGTTGTCCAGTCCTCTATTCCAGCCTCTCTCCATCCATTAATCCTTGTCTTCTTCCTTGCCAGAACCATCACTCTTTGAATTTGTTCATCTTGTTTCTTGGTTATTGTTTGTGTCCCCCAATAGAATGAAGCTTGTCTTTTTTTTTTTTTTTTTTTTTATCACCAGGTCCCTGACACCTGACATGGTAGCACAGGCAAGACTCAGTTCACACCTGAGTTCTAGAAGCCAAATCTAAACCAGTAGCTACACCCCACCCCTAGTACTTTTCAGAGTCACAGTGGTGACCTTGAAAAATCCACCCCAACACCTTCTTTTTTAGTCTTCACAGCCTGATAGAGAGACTTGAGTCGAGAAGAGTATGCTATCATAAGAGAAAAAGCAGATGGAAATTAAAATTGTGGGAACTGAGTGCATTGTCACAACATAACAGGAGGGAAGATGGGGGTGAGGTGAGGGGAAAGAACAAACCAACACCTATGGACTAGGCAGGCAGACACAGGTCATGTGGCCACAGTGGGGTGGAGTGGAGCTGGCTAGCAGTGGGTCCCTAGCCCAGGCCAAGAGGTCTGTCATGAATAAAATGTGCACATATACTGGCTCCAGGCCCCACCTTCCAGGCTTAAGAAAATCTGACACGCCCACCTGCTGTGACCCCAGGTGGAAAGCAGCCCCTCACTCACCTCGGGAGCAGCGAAGGCATGGTTCTCAGGACCAGACTCCAGGCTGATAGTGAGTACTGCATCGTAGGCCTCCTGTAAGGGCCCTTGGTCATCCAGGGTCAGGTATGATCGGTTGTGGTAGGGCAGGGCGAAGAGCAGAGTGTCATAGGGCAGGAAAACCAGTCTCCCGTCTGTCAGGCCCTCTTCCCAAGCGCAGCGCAGCAGGGTGCTTTGTTCCGGGCCCCCCAGCAGTGCTGAGTGCATGCACAGTACCACAACTGGGGGTGAACACCGAAGGGTCACCATTGCCCTTGAGCCCTTGCCAGAAACCCAGATCCCGAGGCCCTCAGAGCTCCTAAAATCTGCGGTCACACTTCTAAGCATTCAGGATATGAGTGAGATTTGACCTCAGTCTGACCCCATAGTAATTATGGCCGAGGCCACCAAATCTAGGATAAAAAAGGAACTCAATGGACGACACCTTTGTATTAAGATGACCCTTCTGACCTTCCGCCCCAGCATCTGCCCCGGCTTCTCATCCACCCTAACCCTCAGGCCCTGATAATTGCTGATATACATGGACAGCTTTCTATGTCTGTCCCCAGGTGCCCTCACATTTAGTCATTCATTGCTGCATGTGATGAAATACACGAATGTGTAAAGTGTCATGCCAGGCAGAAGGATTGTGAGTTTAAGGCCAGCTTGAACTTACATGGCAATATCATATCTCAAAAAAAAAAAAAAAAAAAAAAAAAAAAAAAACCAAACCAAAACACACACACACACACACACACACACACACAGTAACATGAAGATGTATGTTTATCATCGAATTTCCGGGTGAGGAAGTTTAGGCCCAGAGAAGTTGATAAGTTTCCCCAGAATACATAGGCACCATAGTATAGAGCAGAGATTTGAACCCAGAGCTCACTACCAGTTTATAATACTCAAAAAGACGTGTGTGTATGGTGTGCGTGCATGCATATGTGTGTTTTGAAATATAGTCTTGTCATATAGTCCACACTAGCCTTGAATTTCCTAGGTAGACCAGGCTGGCCTTGAGTCTGAGATCCTCCTGCCTCACTATATGGCTTCATACTTAAGTTTTTAAAACTAAGATGATTTCCAGGGCCTGGAGAGATGGCTCAGAGGTTAAGAGCCCTAACTGTTCTTCCAGAGGACCCAGGTTCAATTCCCAGTACCCACGAAGCAGTTCACAACTGGGTGACTCCAGTTCCAGAGGACCTGACACCCACAACACAGACATACATGACGGCAAAAACACCAATGCATATAAAATGAAAATAAGTAAATTATCTTCAAAAATATGATTTCTGTATCAGATAACCTATCCTTAAAAGTGCATGTTTTGGTAGTTTAAATGTATTTGAAAATTGAACAGAAAAAAAGTCACCATTATTTAATCTGGCACCGCACCCTCCCTCCTAGTCTATTGCTCATCTCAATGGATTTCCTGTTCTGGATATTTCATCTAAAGGGACTCATCTGACATGTGATTCCTAATGTCCGACTTCTTTTATTTGAAGTATTTCAGGCCCCTCTTGGTCATGGAATGTATCAGCACTTCATTACTTACATGGTTATATAATATTCCACTGTCTGATTGACCATATTTTGTTTCATTCATAATCAGCATATGACCTTAACTGCAGCCTTGGGTGGCACCTAAAGGTCTAAGCACTGAGAGATGATTGGGTCAGGTGGGCTCTGCCTTTACCTACACTAGTCCATGGATAGGTTTATAATTGGTGGCATTGTTGGGAGGTCATGGCAAGTGGGACCTCACTGGAGGGAGTGGGTCCCTTGGACCATGACCTCTGAAGGTTGTCCTTGCTCCTTCCTGACTCTGGTTCCTGGTGCTGTGATGTGAGCACCCTGCCATGTGTCCCCACTACGATACCCTGCCTCCCTCACTTCGGGCCCTAAGCAAGGGGACCCACATGACCTTGAACTGAAGCTGTGACCTAAAATAAGCTTCCCTCCTTCCAAGCTGTTTTTCTCAAGGTTTTTTTTCCCCCCCAGTGAGGAAATGCCTGTTACAGCTCCCAGTAATAAGGGGTTCAGTTACCTTCCCAGGCACAAGACAGAGGGGACCCTACCCAGAGTGAAGGTCCACAGAGACCCCATCTGCTCCTTCACTCTCTTCCTGCTTCAGATCCCTGACAGGCTTGCAACCATGCTCCAGAAAGCCACCATTGGCTGAGATGAAGCCAGGTCCCTACTGCCATCTTTTTTCCCTAGAAACCCAGGAAGATGGAGCTACCACAGAAGAACAGAGGTCTCTCTGCGGGGCCTGAGGCCTCTCATCACACAGAGGTCAGAGGCTGGATGGAGTGCCTTCCTTGGCTGAGACCCCAAGGGGCTGTGTTGTTTGGGCTGGTGCCATGAGTTGTCTGAAACCTGAGCAGCAGGAAGAGCTCCTGAAGAAAGACCCGCTGAGATAGAGCTATGGCCTAGTCCCAAATGCTCTGCCACTGTTCTGCCTTTTCCCTCAGGGGGAAGTTGGAAGCACTATTTTTGTATCTGGCCACAAGGGAGAGCTAAAAACCATATAACTAGGAAGAAAGCCAGTGCCAGGCACCTCTCTTGACTGGCCACACCCCTCTCCTTTTCTCTATGCCTTAGGCATTTTGAACTCTCTCACGCCGTTTAAAGAACTGTTGGAAAGCACATAATATTGGAAAGAAAGAGCACCGAAAGCACAGGTAGGTTTTGGGGACTTGTCAGAGGTCGTGCAGCTAATAGGGCCAGCATGGAATCCCTACAGTTCCCCTCACCATTCTGTCTCCTGCATACGAATCTCAGCATCATAGCTGGAACTCAGTTCCCCGCCGTGGGTTCCTTAGCTTTTCCCACACTGCTCCAGCCATGAAGAATCAAACTGTGCCTCATTTCCCTCGGCCATGAAGTGTGTTTCTTGCACTCCTTGGGCTAGCTGGCATGTCTCTCTAGGATGCCCCTCCCTCATGTCCATTCAGTCCCACTCTAATGTCATCTCCTCTGGGAAACCCTCCTCTCATCCAGACACACAGGTGATCTCCTTTGGATTCTGTTCCTTCTCCGGTTTCAGGCTCTAGCTTCTGAGACCTAGCCTGTTGCTGCCTTGTCCCCGGAGCTCAGCTGGAGGGTACATTTCACAAAACTGAGTATCCAGATGTTGAATCAAGCATCTCCGGCAAGGAGAGGTGGAACATTTGGTCCCACTCGTAAAGGTTAACCATACTAATTTGGGCTCTTGTCCAGCATCCAGGAGCGTAGGCTTGAGATGTCTGAGACTGAAAATACATCTTGGTTGTTGGGTTATTTGTAACAACTCATGTATCAGCTGCCAGAATCAGCCTCATTGAAGTAATATGTGAAGTACTCAGTGCCCTGAGTACATGGGCTGAAGGTCCAAATACAGAAGCAAAGGGAATTGGCACCTCAGTTCTGCTACAATCTAGGCTCACTTGAACACTGCAAATTCTTCGACTGAAATAATAGGGTAGTAAAAAAGAAATCCAATCAACAACTTACTTCCCAGTGCAATATTGAAACAGAAGAAACATGAAAAATCAAGGCAATGTGACTGCTTGAAAATCAGTAATTACACAGGAAATAGTCACAAAGAGAACAGAGTAGATGAAGTTCCAAATAGAGAGTTTAAATGAATGATTGTAAGATCATTCAAAAGAATCAAGAAGGCTACAAAGAAATTACTGGATGAACTAAAAGGGCACAAATAATCAACAAGTGGAATAAGTCAATACAAAGAAAGACTGGTGAAAGAGAATCATGGGTAGGTGACAGTGGGTAAAGATGCTTGCTACCCAATGATGCAGATCTGAAAGCCTGTGCTCAGACTCTAAAACACACATGTGTACCATGGTATGGTCATTCACACTCTCTCTCTCTCTCTCTCTCTCTCTCTCTCTCTCTGTGTGTGTGTGTGTGTGTGTGTGTGTATGTGTGTGTGTGTGTGTGTCTCACTCACACACACACAAAGTCAAGTTCAAATATTCAAATATTGGAAGTGAATAAATAGTTCAATAACTCTAATAAAAACTTAGAAGAAGGCCCCAGAGTAGGATGAGTCAAATGTAAGACAGAATGTCAGGTCTTGAAGTCAAAGTACATGCAATGAAATATTCAGATAGTGGTGGAGATAATAAGAAGGTGTGAACAGAACATTAAGGTGTGAACAGAATATTAAGTCAGTGCCACTAATGGACTAGATCTGAGAGTCATGGATGTAGAAGAAGGAGCATTTCAAATTAAATGCATGGAAAATGCATTTAATAAGAACAGCAGAAAATTCCCCAAATCTAGTAGGCTATCCAGATACATGAGGCATTTAGAATGCTATACAGACAAAATATCCCCCATATCATATTACAATTAAAACACTGAATATACAGAGCAAAGAGTGTATGTTCAGAACTGCACCAAGTCATGTCTGGAACTGGTCTATCATAATAATAGCAGATTTCTCAACAAGTTCTAAAAGTTAAGAAGTCAAGGACAACATTCAACTCCTGAAAGATAATTAACTAAGAATATGAAGCTATCCTTCATATTATCCTCCTGTATAAAACAAAAGTAAAGACATTCATGATCACTGAGCTAGCATGACACACAAATGAGAAAGATAAGCGCATACATGATTTCTAGTGTAGCTGTGGCCAACTACACTAGAAAAATACATAAGCAATTTAGGATTGGGAAAGTACCAAGTATCATAAAAATAACAAAGTGACAGAAGTGAATGGATACATTTCAATAAAAATCCTGAATGTTAACAGTTTCAACTCCTCAATTGAGAGACCTAGATTAGCAGATTAGATTTTAAAAAATAGAAAAAACAAAAACAGGACCCAAATATTTGTTGTCTGTAAGAAACACACGGATGAAGACAGCCTTTTGGTGAAAGGATACCAAAAAATATCCCAAGTCAATGGAACTAGAAATCAAGCATGTGTAGCAATTCTAACATCTGGCTAAATAGAATTCAAATCCTAAAAAGTCAGAAAAGATAAATAAAGTCAGTTTATTTTGGTTAAGGGAATAATCTGTTAGGAGGATACTGCAAATATAAACGTGTATGCATCAAACATTGATGCATCCAGTTTTGTGAAACAAACCGTACTGGATGTAAAGCCACTGATAGATCTTAACACATGACTAATTTGCTGCATTTTAGGACACAAAGCAGCTCAAAAAAGTAAAAAAATAAAACAAAAAACCTGAAATCATTTTATCTATTCTATCTGTAACAGTGTAATAAAATTATATCCAATAGCAAGATAAACTACACAACGAGATTGAACAACACAGTACTGAATAATGAATGGTTCACCAAAGAATTTGGAGAGTGAATTTTTAAATTTTTAAAAATAAAATGAAAATGAAAATGGGCTGGGCATGTGGCGCATAACTTTAATCCCAGCACTCAGGAAGCAGAGGCAGGCAGATCTGAGTTTGAGGCCAACCTGGTCTACAGAGCTAGTTCCAGGACAGGCTCCAAAGCAATACAGAGAAACCCTGTCTCGAAAAACAAAACAAAACAAAAATGAAAATGAAAACACAGCAGATAAGAGCCTGTGGGATGAAATAAACACACACACATGTATATGTATATATACATACATATGTATGCATATATATGTATATATATGTACATGTATGTATATATGTGCCCATGTGTATGTGCTCACACTGTTCTATTTTATTTAATTCTCAATTCTATTTATTCTCCCCTATTTATTATTTTTAATGCTAGCCATAATTAGATCTTTGTTATACTCCTGGAACTTTCATTTTAAAGGCGACTGCCAAAAATGCCCTGAGCTTCACAACCAACATTTGAATCAGAGCTTATGATCCTGTGGATCTGCCTGACTACTGTGTGACACATTTCTTGCTCTCTCTGGGCTGCCAAAGGAAGCCTTCATCAAGGATGGCTTACGGGGTTGTTGGGATATTTAATAAGTGCTCAGCCCAGTTGCTATGGACAGGGCCTCCTGTAGGTAATCCTGTCTAGATTACCTATAACAGGGAGGGACCTAGACATACTTACTTTTCAGACCATTCACACTGTGGAGCTGCTTGCAAACCTCCATGGCCTCCTTCTCTCCGGGTCCCAAAGAAGTCACCAGTCCAATGGAGAGCCCATGGGCCCTGAAAGCTATGGCCAGCTGCTGGGCTGTGGCTACCCAGATGTCCTGGTGAGAGGACACAATGGCCAAGCGAGCCCAGCCAAAGTGCCTCATGACAGACAATAGCACATGGGCAGGAGAAGGCAAAGTGGATACCAACTCACTTCCTCCCTCTGGAGCCCCACAGGCCCAGGAGAAAAGGGACTTGCCCCAGCCTTGGGCCAGCAGGGCTGCTGCTGGGCAGTATCCAGGATTGACAGGGCCCACAAAAGCAGCCACTGTATTCTTGTGGGCCACAAATGTGGCCAGGGCATGAGGAGTATCACAAGCTGTGTGGAGGACCTTGAAATCCAGCTGTGAGCTCTGTAGCAGCGAGGCATCCTGGTTGACTCTATCTACAGCCAGCTGTGTAGCCATGCTGGGGAGTGCCTGGGCAAAGATGGGGTCACAGTCCCAGGGTCCCAGCACCCCAAGGATGAAGGTCTCTCTTGCCCATGCTGGCAGGGAAATGGAGTCAGCCCACAAAAGGACACCCCAAAATACCACAGAGAGAGCTGATATGGAAGACGCTGTCCCCAGATGATGGACAGTGAATCCCCACAGGCTCTGGCAGGGCAGGCAGGTCTTCCTTTGTGGTGCTGTCCACTCCTGGTATTCAAGGTGCAGGTCTTGCTGCAGTCCTGGGGGAGGAGTGTGGATAAGCCTTGGCTGTCTAGCCTTTATGCTTCTCATATTGGTACATAGGATACTTGGAGCCATGATCTGAAGGACTTCCTAGGACTGGCTCAGAGCTGTGATGTACAAGCTGAGTCCCAGGCTGGAGCTCAAACAGGACATTGCTTACAGAAATAACATCAACACCCAACCCCTTGCCTCCCTGCAGACTAGCCTCCAATGCTGTCTGAGTCTTGTCTTCCTCCTCTAAAACAATAGACTGCAAAATTGCTCAGAAGTCTTATTGCGGCCAAAAAAAAAAAAAAAAAAAAAAAAAAAAAATGGCATCAAGGACAACATTTGGCATAATGCCAGTGCTCAGGGACTCAATGTCCTACCTCTTTTACCCATGACCACTGTTTCATCTTTCACTCGTCTTTAGGAGGGCCAAGCTCTCCCTGCCCCATCACTGTTCTTGACAAGCTTAGCTCCATTCAAAGGTCCTGGTTGCCGAGTTCAAGGCCCTGGGAGCAAAGCACATGTGCCAAGTGTGGTAGCAAACGTGCTGGGTGTGTCCAAGAGAACTGGAGCTACTGTGCTCACACTATACCTGTGAGTAGTGTGAATCTTTCACAGACCTGCCTGGACCAAAAAGCCTCTCTACCCCACTGCATAGAGGAAGGAACTAGGGGAATTAGCATGGAGTTAGTAGAAAGATGGGCATAGCCCAAGTCCATTCAACTCCTCCACCCCAAACAACCTTCTCAACCAGGATGCTTGGACTTCACTCCAAGTACTCTTCTCTTTGTCAGTAAGATTCCTCAAACTGACACCCTGATGGCCAGACTCAGTGTCTTAAGAATTCTGTAGCCAGTGGCCTGCAAGGACTTGTGGAGAGTTGAAGAGCCTAACAGGCCAGCTTCAGAATAAGGCAACGGCTGGCTTTCACCCAAGCTCTGTGTCTCATTCATGGCTCAGAGTCCACATCCCTCATTATCTCCACTCTATTCTAGAGGCTGTCAGTATCCCCAATCAGTTAGAGGCTCAATGCCGCCCTGAAGCCCTTCTTGGCCCCAGCTGAAAACCTGCTATAGCCTCTTCTCCATCCACAGGGCTTGCTTACTTTCTGCCCACAGCATTTATGTAGTCACATTGAGAACCCCAGGAAGGAATAATATCTGTTCTGGTCCCCATAAAACTGCCAGAGAAGTAGGGAGGCAAATCTCAGCTAAGGAAAGAGTTAGCTATGAATTTGGGCCATAGACAGAGGATAAGTGGGGATGAGCAAGGACAGTGAGGGCTTCCTAGAGCAGACAGAACTCACTCAAGCCCTATCATTGGAGATGTAGCTCAAGAGAAGGGAAGGTTTTCTTTGTCATTAAAAAAAGGGGGTCTGGGTAAGGCAGCTCTTCAGAAAGCATGTTTGATGCTGAGGAAGAGAAGAGTCTTGGAATCATATAGAAGTCTTACTTACTAGCTCCTAACTTTGGGCTAGACACTGAGGTTCTTTGAGCCTCCCTTTCCCAACCTGCAAACCGGAGGTGCAAAAACTTACCTGGTGGATTGTGGAAACTAGAATGTGTCATGCGTATGGTGAGGATGGTCACACTGTACTTACTAAATGGAGCTACCCTTCCTCTTCCTCATTACCACCCCACCATCTTCAGATCTCCGAGGGGAGGCAGAAAAGGCAAAGAAAGCTAAGCAGGAAGGAGGTAGGAGGCTGAGTTTCAGCTTCATGCGAGGCTGAAGCCTCTCCATCTGTGGAGTTTCCAGTGTGTAGGACCAACACTTTGCCTGGATGACTGAAGCCTACAATACTCTGTTTTTCTTAATTCAGGATAAAAGGTTGTTCTCCTGTTTGCCTCTATGGACCCAGTTGCCCCCTGCTGTGATTCTGGAGTGGTCTCTTAGCATCCAGCTGAGGTACATCCATCCTCAGGTTTACCTGGATGAGCTCTGGTCATACAGCTTCTTTGCTTGTCTCTATCTGAGAACCAAAATGAGTGCCTTCATTGGTCAAAGTGGCAGTCACTTCCCTCACAGTCTGTTTCCCAAAGTGTCTCTGACTCAGCATTTGCTGGGGCTTCCCAGAAGTTCCCAAGGAGACTCCCAACTCTCATTTTTAGAGAAGGAAACTGATTCTGAGTAGACAATGACTTGTCCAAGGCCTCACAACAGGTAGTACCAAATCAGAACCAGAACTTAGCCTCCAACTTCCTAGCCAAAGATAAATCAATACCCACCACATGCTTTCTCTCTCTCTCTCTCTCTCTCTCTCTCTCTCTCTCTCTCTCTCTCTCATTCTCAACTATTTAACTCTTATGGAGCATCAGAGTCTTAAGGATGTAGATGCCTCTGATGTAGATGCCTCTATGTCTAGATGGGGACACTAAAGCACATAGAATAGGCTGCACTTTGGTCCTAAAAAACACTGATAGGAACCATGACCTGATATCCTGCTGGTCAGACTCAGTGCCTCAAGAATCCTGTGGTCAGCAGCCTACAGAGACAGAGTGTCATGACATCAGTAGGCCAGTTGTAGAACACAGCAGGGGCAGCCTTTCACTACAGCTCTGGTCCAAATTTGTGTAGCACACAGTCCAGACTATTCTTCCCCCTGGTTTCTTCAACTGTGCAAAGAGAGCTCAGTATGCATGTTAAATCTCTAAATGTCCTTCAGCATTGATGTTCTGTGTGCTGAAAGAACACCTAGAGACAGGAATCTCTGTTACTGAGCTTAGCCATGTTCTCCTCCAAATGTTCCAGACACACAAACACACACACACACACACACACACACACCCGCCAAGGGTGTAAGGTCCTTTGATCCCTCTGCAATGGCCACAATTGATAAAAGGGACATCCTGAAGTGGGGAAGGGATTCAGGTCATTTAGAATTGGTGATGGCCTTAGGGTTAGCCACTGCTTGGTTTCTGAAGTTGAGCATATGGAGTTAAAGGCTCCCATCAGAGCCCTGGAGTTCAGAGATAGAGAGACATTTGTCTGCATGAAGACACCAAACAGGATAAGAATGGAGGATTCCTATGAGCCCAGGGTCACCCCTCCCCTGACCCCAGCTTTCTCTTCAGGGCATGCTCCCAGCATACTCACCTGCCATGGTGGACGTTAGGGTGGACACTGCATCTTTGCCAGGCCTGAGGTTCTCACACCTGGTCTCAGAGATCAGACTTTCTGAGCTCTTTCTGACCTTCAGCCTCCTGTGGTGTCCTGGCTACTGCTCTTGTTGTCTGCCGGCTTCCTGAGACTCCTGACTGGGTAGTGCCTTAGATATGGTTCACTCCCTCCTTGTCCCCCTTAGGAGCCCAGAGAAACCATTTGGAAAATTGGATCTGTTCAGACCCCAGGCCTCTGGGGAGCCACATCAGAAAGGAAGGGGGAGTTGAGGATAGGAGGGGGGAGAGAGGGTAAGAGAATTCTTCAGCACTATGGACAGCTCCGGACACACCAGGGCAACCAGGAGGCAGGGAGCCAGGTCAAGTCCCAAAACCCAGCAATAAGCATCCATCAAGTGCCCAGTAAAATTCATTCTACCCACAGAGGCACTGATATTACTTTCACTTTAGAGACAAAAAGTTTGTCCCAGAATGTTTGGTAACTTGATAGGTACAGAATCAGTAAGTGGCATGGCTGACTGGCTGAAGTTTCAGGCTTCTGTTTGTTGCACATGCTGGTCATGAATGAGATGCCTTTTCTACCCTCCTTTTGGTGTTGATAAGACCTAAGTCCAGTGGGCTTGTCCACATCCCTCCACCTGCTCCCTCTTGCCTGGACAACCAGCTTTTCTTGAGGACCTTATGTCTGCTAAGGGCTGGCATCATGCCCTACCTCACCCTTAGACAACTTTGTCAAGTAGAAATGTTTCTTGTTTTCTTTGTCACCTTATTCATTTAACTGGAACTTATTAAGCACTCATTTGCCAGTTCTGCCATGGAGTGAATCAAAACTACTTTTTCCCCCTTCCCTCAATTGATTCCTGCCATTTCCCCCAAACTCATCTACCTCCTAGGTATTGCCCTAGATAATTGAGCCCATCATCATATGAAAGGAACATAGATTTTTGTTCTTTGAAGATCTTTTCTTTGAGGGATAGGGAGGGGCACAAGAGTCAATAAATAATAAAGTAGGTAGATGCCATTTTATTGTTGAAAATTGCCAGGTGTTATAAAATGAGGCAAAGAACATCAATTATCATATACATAATCCATCACAAGAGTTTTATATTACTATACAGCCTTTGACATGATTTTAACAGCCCAAAAAGAGCAGATAGGTCATAAGTTAAGTTGGGCTGTGTGTTTTTATATAGCCTAGGAGGACTACTGGGCACCTGCTGATGTGCCAGACATGGGCCCCTGCCTCCTCCCTCTGACCTCTTAGCAGGCTGGCTAAGCTCAGAGGGAGGAGCAAGAGGGGGAAGCTGGGACTCTCTGCATTCACTGCAGGGGCTAACCCAGAACCTCCCTTTGTCATCCTTTGACAGTCTCTGGCTGGTTTCAGTCAGTAGGAGACTCTCACAGACATCAGGAGGACAGAGAAAAGGAGACACTGGGAAATTCTCCTCACCACCACCATTCTCTAGGTGTATTTTGAGTTCATTATACTCTTCTTTCTGTTTCTGTGTGTATTTGAAAGTTTTCATAATTTAAAGTAATAATATCAAGTAAAAAGTAAGGATATAACTTTTACCACATACTCCTCAGCACCAATAGTTTAGTTTCTTTTCCTTATACAGCACTTTAAAAAATCCTGAATTGCCAGGTGTTGTTGGTGCACACCTTTAATCCCAGCACTTGGGAGGCGAATCTCTGTGAGTTCAAGGCCAACCTAGTCTACAGAGCTAGCTTCAGGACAGGCTCCAAAGCAATATAGAGAAACTCTGTCTCGAAAAACAAAAACAAAACAAAACAAAACAAACAAACAAACAAACAAAACTTCCTGAATTATATTTTTCTTTTCCTCTTTTTGTCTTTTTTTTTTTTTTTTTTTTTTTGGTGTTTCAAGA